AAAATTATTTTTTGTCATTTCATGGGTATGTGTAAGGGAGTTAAATTTATTTGGTTGTTGTAGGATCATGCTGACATGAGAACATTTATTTTTTAGCTTTTAATAACTGTAAGAGAGTGTTAATGTGCACAAAATATGCTATTTTTACTCTGTGCTCTTTATCTTGAGAATAGGAAGTTCTACTGCCATAAAACAGGTTTTCTGTTAGTTTATCAGTAGGCTTATCTTCTCTTTGTGTTTTTTTTTTTTCAAAAGTTAGTCTTGATTACTCTTAAGAGTTACCATTATAAAGCATTTTTTACAAACATACACCACACAGTTGCTTTTATCCTGAAAAAAAAATATTATTACCGCCATGCGCTATAAACAGAAGTATATTTGACTCGTATTTAACCTCATACAGATGTGTTTTGTAAGGATGTTCTGTTCCATGGCTGTTTAGTATACACCTATTTTGTTATAACCGTGTTCCTCTAGAGCTTTTTATTAAGATTTCACTTTGATAACAGAAAATTACATTAATGGTCTACTAGCAGTTAATACTATTAATTGAGGTTTTAGCTTTTACTATGTGTTGTAATAACATAATGCCCAACCATATAATTCAGTGTTCACATTATAAGGTTATGTTGTATTTGAATGTACTCAAAGTGATATTAAATACATCAGTGATAAATTCTGCTATCTTACTGGGTATAATAAAATATATTTAAGCCTACAGTGCTAGTTTACCCATTACCCTGTTTTTTTTATTAGTATTATTTCATCAGTGGAAAGTAGGTAAAAGTGAAGAGGAGCTCCCCTAAAAGTCTGTCGGCCGACAGTATACCAACAGTTTACCACACTGAAAAAAAAGAAGTCTTGTCATTTGACCCTTACTATGCATTCGCTTAGAATCAGGCGCATCAAGTCTCCCAAGAATTGAGTAGGGGTAGGTAAATTTGATTCTCTTTGTAATGGCGACAAACGATTTTGATTCCCTCTTCCTGGGGGATGTTAGTGCAGAGAGAACACACGTCGAATGTAGCTAAAATTCTTCATTGTAAACGGTAAACGACAGTCGACTGTTGGCCAACAGTTATTTTGGGGAGCTGTTCTTCACTTTTTCTGGAAAGTACAGCACATGTGGTTTAAGTTATAGGAATTGCCTATGTGTGTAGTACATGAATGAATTGTGCTAGTTAACTTTGAATACACTAAGGCTCTTAATTCAAATTCACAACCCAGTTCACAATTTAAGGGATATCGCAAGAAGTCATGTGTGAAAGGCACAAAAAAGGAGAACTTTCTCTTTAGGCTTTCTTCACTTGTTACTTGAAAAGGAAAGCTTGCTCTCATGCAACCCAAACTCTTCCCAAAACCTTGTGAGCTAATTTTTATGCAAGAGTTATGGCTTATGTTTTCGCCTAGAAGGTGCTTGTTTTGTACCAAAGGTTTGTTATTGCCATTTCCAAGAGCTAAAACCTGTACATTCCTCCAAACAAAAACCACAAAGAGAGTAGACTTGAATTGGATTAACTTTGCTTTTCCATCTGCTATACTCTGACCCATTTCCTCAGGTTAAAAATTTATTTTCCTATGTTCACTAATATTATTGTTTAAAGGTACGGTGCATTAATGGTGCCAGTTTTCCCTCTCTTGCAGCCAGTGGCCTGTAAACAATAATTATTAATTTCGCATTGGAAATGCTAAAACGTCAATAAATGCTGCAGCGTTCAAACCGGTTAATAGGGCAGTCAAACTATTCCTTTAAAGAAATGTCTCTTCCAAGCTTCCTCTCTCTTTCTCTAAGATCTCTTAAGATGGGGATGTCCTTTAACATTTGTGGTGTGATTCTTGACCATTGTATTCCAGTTGGCCTCAGCTGTCTTTCCACTTTACAGTGGATTACTCTTGTTGGTGTTATGATGTAATCCACCTGTAAACAGCGGGAAAAGAACAATGTGTGACCAAATGCCACTAGCTAGCCTGGTACTGTTATTTTGAATTTTCATTCCTAAACACTGCTTTGCACCATAATGATGAGGACAGGCCCTCATGCATTATGCTGACAGGTGCCTGCTATGTCACAAGGATATTGCTGTTTAAGGTTAATTCTGTACTGAATGCGTGACATATCCCCTTCAAGTGCAGATTCATTATTGGCCCTGATGTTGTTGTGTACATGTGCCAGGGTTGTTCAAAATCATCTAACCTCTGCTTAAATGTAATTTATTGAGGGATTAAAGGATCATTCGTTTTTCATGTTACCTTAGCTTGGTGATTTGACTTTCATACATTTTTTTTTTTGAACATATATACCCTCTAATAATTATTTGTGTCTTAACATTCCCTCATGAAGAGAGCCATGGCCATAGTTGGGTAGGAAAAGTGCAATACACATTACCGCTGTGTGACCATGGATAACTTGTGTTTAGTCAAAATTTCGTACAAGACAATTGTCTTGCCTCTATGAAATGGATCCCAAAGTGAGAAAAGTGCTAAATTGCTAAATTGCTAAATTTTACATCCTGTTCATATTTTCCAAATCTTTCTCCCCTTTTGCTCTTGATCTACAGCAGATGCCAGAAGCCTTTACGTAACCCCATTGCCACAGTCATTTATGGAGACTTGTGTGTGAGGGAGTTCTCCCTTCGCTTAAGATCTAATGGACATTAGTTGATAAATTTTGATAATTTTACCGTCAAATCATGATCATCTGTCAGCTCATCTGGAATATCCACTATTTGACAGTCATGGACAGTTGTGATGACAACAGTGTCATAATTGACAGCTCCCATGGTAACCATCATTGCATATTCCATATCAGCATATCCTTCACCTTTCCCAATGCGATACCCTGTAAGTTGGAACAGAAAAGCTAAGGGATAGTTGACTGTTTAAGTTACAAGAGTGACCAACATCAATTTTCTCCAAACAATATTTATACGTTATCGAGATGAAGCTTATGAGAATTAATAAAATACAAATGATACAATAAAATACAATGCGATACTTTATTCAAGAGATCAAAAAACTAAAGTTACAAAATATCTCTCAAAAGGGGAAATCTAGAGGTTAATCCTATGTAAAAGATTCCCCAAAATTAAAGATGACAAGGTAAAATCTAGAATCTAAACCATTATATACAGAGAGAAATATCCAAAACCTAAAAACTAGAACATCATTAATTTTGCAGATCATAATTTTGAAACTATTTACCATTGTATTAATCAGTATTCATATAAATCCTTAATGCGTTGCAAAATAAAATCAGTGATCCTGTGTGTACAACATCTTTAGGCAAGTTAATCCATGCTTAAACGATCCGTACAAAGAAAGAATATTTGTAGCAGTGGTCAAATGGTCAAATGCAATGATCAAATGAATTATAAAAATAATTAATGCTTTGATCTTTTATGATATTCCCTCAACTTATTCTTTGCGATAATGTATGGAGATCAGTTCTTAGAATATTGTATTGGGATATGGGTCTTAATTAAAGGGTTTAGAAAAAAAAAAGAGAAACATAATGGGCAAAAGCATGAGGGATTGTTCATTACATAGAAAGAAGGGAAAACATGAGAGTAGAGTTGAACTTCTTCATTCCTGCCTCAAGAATGTTTGATTCTTTTGCATATATTGGTCAAATCAAAAAAATCCATTGACGAAGCTTATTTGGTCAAGATAGCTAGACATGTTTGCATGTTTTTTTTAGAAGGGGTAAAGACTTTTCCTTTCTCCTGGGGGTAGAAAAATCCCTGGGGCCTGGCTGGTTTTAGACAAGACACCTCTGTTCTGAAGGAAATATGCTATCTTCACTTGCCTGGGAAAAATGTGTCAGGGCCGGGAGAAATCTTGAAATGGTGCTCCTGGAGAGTCAGGGAGGCAAAACCATACCCTGTCATTTGGCATATCTCCATATAGCCCATATAATGAGACTACCCCCAACACAGTCTCCTCGGTGGGGTATCCTGGAGGAGTACCCCCTTTCAGGTCCCTATTTTTCCTCATAAAGTAAGCAGTTTATAGTTTTCATACGTACTAGTGTATTTTCCCTGCGGAAAATAAGAGGCCAATAATTAGGAAAAAAGGAAGCTAGTCTACATATTATTATAGTCTAGCTTTCATTTTTTCCTGCCCCAATACAAATTTCTAGCCACGATTTAAGACTGTAAGGGTCGCTCAAACTCCCTTCTTTCCATAAGACCATTTGAGAGTGACACTACATCAGAATTATTTTGCATGGCCAGCAATGCTTGCACATGAATGCATGCACAATAATTCTTAGAAAGAGCTATAACTGTCTGTGAACAGTACTTTACCTTTCGTTGACACTGCAACGGACCCTATAACAATAAGATCAATGTTGACTTTATGATCCAGACCAACAGGAGTACTATAGTTTGTAATACCCTCTTTAGTTGCACACTTCTTAAGCGTGGCAGTGTTACCATCAGAAGGTGGAACAATGCGATTGAACAAACCATTTTTTAATCTTGGCGTAGGAACCAATAATACTTTATTTTCCTCTAATGCCTTGTATCTCACAAATTCTTGCGGTTTATCTGGGTTAACCTTCACAGTTTTAGCATTTTTGAATGTTTCCATAGCAACAACCTTTTCTCCAGCTGCGTTTGCACCCTTAAAATTCGGGATTCGGTGGTGAACGGGTCGAGGATAGTTGGCAAGATCGTTCCTTTCCATATGATCCCATATACGCTGACGAATGGCAGCTTTTGTTGTTGTATTTGCTGCCTTATCGTTCATTTTGAATAACAAAAATAATAAAGAAACACTTTCTATGGCTAGAAATGAAGGTTTTTTCTTCAAAATTTTAGAGGTTCGGCGCCATATTGTGGATGTGAAAAGTACAAAAGAAGAAGTACTGGGTTCCAGTGCTTGGTCGTGCCTAGGTCTCCGCGGGGCTGATTTGAGTTCAAAGTGCAAAAATAATTAGAGATTGGAGGGATAATTAACGAGCAAACAGCGGATGCCTTAACAAAGGTTGTCAGTGTTTTCAAGGACTGACCCCGAATTTTTTTTTTAACAGTTCACCATTTTCAATCATACTAAACATTGTAAAATACCCTCCTACACCGGAACATCTGCACTGATCAGTAGGCTATATATTGTGATGGGATACTCCTTCCATTCTCTAAAATTATTATAAAAATTATAAAATGAGAAGTTCTTTATTTGACGGATTATCAAACTGTAAGTAAATAATTAAAACGAAGGATCGAAAAAAGCAAAACAAGACCTATCTCAAATGTGTTCAGACGGTTTCAGTTTGACTCCTGCCGTTGGTGAAAAAAAAAAGAGACAGAAAAGGCCTTTGGGGACCCGAACGTTGTTTTCTGGACCTGAAAACAGGCTCTCATGTTTGGGTTTTGTACTGGCTGTGGTGTGAGGAGTTTTCACCTGGAAAGGTATTTTGGGTATCTCGGGATAAACACAGGAGACAATTATAGACAGACATTGGGAGCTTTAGCAAAGGCGTTTTTGAGCGACGTCCGTCAACAGGAAGTAAGACCTTTTCTCTTTTGACCCGACAATTTGGGCAAAACATTTCCCAAGAGTGTAAAGAGTCGACCACATGCGTCGCTTAAAAACGCCTTTGCTTATTTAGGTTCCCATGTGTCGGCCGGCGAAGCTATGACCATGGAGAAACTGAGTCCCCTTGCTGTTCTCGGATAGAAACGCCAGTTACTTACCTACCAGGTTTAGCATGAAACATTTTCAACTCTCTTTCGAAACCACCTTTTTTCGCATCTCCGAAGAAAAAGCGAGCAAGAACTGTCCGAACTGTCCGAACTTTGGCAATATTGTTACCCAGTCTAGTGCCTAAAAATTGATTCTCGAATTTTGAGATAAGTCCAGCTTAACATTGATATTTAACTGAGAAATTTGGCTTTGGACAATTTTCCATCTCCTTGCTGTTTCTGATCTTCTTCGTATTTGTCATATTACGCATTTCTTGACATGTCAGGTGATCAAACTTCTAGGTAAAAAAAATTGATATGAGATTTAAATCAAGTAGATTAAATTTTTAACATGACTCACTAAAGACTTAACGTAAAAGAAGCAACCTTGTATTGCACCTATTTCTTGGTTCATTTTTTAAACATCAATAGCATGATTTTCCCTCTTTTATCTCAAAGAAGAATTCCCATATCTCTCAATTCTTTCTTTAAAAGCCCCAAATCTGAATAAGATAACGCCAGTCCATAAAATCAGTTATCTCTCATTGCAAGATCAGTTATTACTGGATATGGCAAAACTTCTCGTCTGAGTGAGGCACAAGTCACCAGAGGGGAAAAAAATATCTTTTTTAAAAATGGAAAACACTAACTTTGACCTATCTAAATCAAATCATAGTAATCATGATCAGACTAAAACGTAGTAAATTTCAAAACAGATCTGATTATTTTTCGCGTTAACGTTCTTTATTACTTGAGTGAGCCTTTTTTAAATCGATGTTTTATGCTAATTTATTGCAGATAAGACAGTGGTTTCGACATAGAAAGGTATAAACTTTAAAAGCCGACTAATAATTTATATCGGGATAATCTCTCTCGGTTCCTGACTGATAACTAACGCCCCGTAACAATGAATTAACCTGTCAGCCAAAACAAAATTATCAATAAATACTGATCACAACGGATTGAGGAAAGATTTTTTGCGGAACACCTGTCTCGCATAAAACGTTCCGGATACGCGCAACCGATCAGCATCGACAAGGCGAACGAATAAACCCTTTAAACACTTCTAGAACCGGCAAGTTTATAGAATCACCAGTAAATGCATTATCTGTGTTTCGTAAAAAATTACTCCCAGAGATCGACGGAATTATGTAGGAACATTAAACATGATAACTGATTTAAACGAAAGCCATTACGCGGAAGTGTTGTTTTCTTCTAATGTTGTTTGTTTATTAGTAATTTTACCGTTCAAGATACAAAACTTTACCCTAGAACATTGTTTTATCTAGAGTTCCGTTTGACCAATGAAGTCCTTAGCGAAAATTTAACACGAAGATGTGGTAGTCGTTAAGGTTTCCTCGCTTTTGAAATTGTTTGTCGCTTTAACTGTTTTTCCGCCAAGCTTTTCTTGATTGCTGTGAAAGTGAACTCTCTTTTTCCTGCGTCGCTTTATCTGTCTAAATATGATGCTCAAACGGGGATTTCGTAACGCATATATCAGTGGATTAACACATGAAGACGCGAAGGCGAGGCATACGATTAATACTTTTGCCTTCGTTATTTTGAGGTCAGCTGGTTCAGGCTGTCGATGTACCGAGATGTATAACGACACTACACAAATTGGCAACCAGCAACAAAGGTGAAGAACCGATATAAAAAATATAGTGCGAGCAGTTTTAAGTTCCGCGAAAAAGCGAATCGTTCGCTGATTGCCAACACCTAAAGGTCGTATACTGTGAGTACCTGTTCTAAGCGTCCTGGACATTTTTAAGAATAATGAAACCATTAAGGCCGTCGGAAGTAAAAGGCAAATGATCACATAGTTAATGTTGAAAATCCTTAATGTTTCTTTGCCTCGATAGCTTAATAAAGGAAGACAAACAAGTGCATAAGAAACATTTAGAGCTGTTGAACACTGATCCTTAGCTGGTTTTTCTTCTAATACAGCCCACACAACAGCAAAAACCAGGGCCCATAAAGATGCAATAAATATAACCGTCCCCGTTGTTTTTGCAGAAATTTTTTTACTGCCTGAATGTTTTACCACGTAGTACCGTTCAATGGTCATAAGTGTGAGAGCAAGGTTCGAAAGTGCGGCGAACCACTCGAAGAAAAATCCAATAAAAACGCAGATCCATTGATTGGACAAAAGGGATCCATTGCTCAGTGACACGGCTCTTAGATACGGTGGTATTGAAAACAATGCAAAGAGGAACTGAACTACTGCAGTATTCACAAAATAAGCGTTGGTCACCGTGTGTAATTGATAGTGTCGTGAAACTATTATACAGACAGCACTATTACCCAAAACACTCAAAATCAAGATGACGAGCAAGAAAGCGTTCACGGCCCTCTCCGAGATTTCTTGCGGCACATCGTCGCATAGTGAAGTGTTTGTGTCCAATGCGACCATCACTGAGCTGTTAATCTCCGTAATAAAGCGAGCCACGCTAAAATGTTGAGAAATGCTTTTGAAGGTGAAGAATATAATACGAGTGGATTCGCGTTTTGAAGCCACCAAAAGAGGATACTCAAAAATGACACTGAAGACTTTGACTTCGCCGGGAGGCGTTCAGCTACAACAGTCTTGCGTCGTGAACAGGTTCATGTACGGTGTGATTTACGCGATGCGGGTAAAAATAGTGCTTTAAAATTTATATTAATCGAAGGAAGTTAGCTAGCTTGGGTGTTTTTTGTAAATTCAAAGCACGATGCACAAAAAATAAGGAGGCAAAATTTGAATATTGAGCTGTCAATGAATAATAAAAAGTGACGTCAAAAATGGAAAAAAAAAACATTAGAAAATTATTGGTGGATAAACATACGCAGCTCGCATGTGTACTTTTTCATTGAAAAAGGATTTTATTATAATGTGAACAGATGTTAGCAAACAGGAAACTGTCAGGCGAAAACTAATTACACCTAATACCTTTAAAAAGCTCTTAAAAATATACATATGGCGAAATAAAAAGTAAAATCAGAACCCCTTTCGAATTTTCTTGCTTAACCAATTTAACTTAGACCAATTAACCATATAAAGACAAGAGGTTATAGAAATGTGGATGCAAAATTTTCCCACGCTGAAAATTGATTTTGTATTAACAATATTTCATAAATTATTTACTGAATTTTAATTTCGCCTTTTCCTTTCTTCTCTTTGAAATTCAAAAGGGACATATGGCTAAATGCAGCCTCTTTTGGCCTTTGAAGTTTCCCACCATGCAAATTTGGTTCTCTTAATGTTTGCTTGGATGATTACTCACTATACTGTTTATGAAAACGAATGCTTCGGCGTATATCTTTTGGCGTATATGGTAAAAAAAACTGAAGGCCTATAGATAAAAGAATCGTAGATAAAAAACAAATAAATAAATGAATGAAAATCATATTTTCCACCTCCTATGTAAGCAATTGTGTTTCCCTGTTTTGTGATATTTATTAAGGTTGCCAGGGAGTGTTACCATGGCCAAAGCAGCGATTTAACTGCTTCCCAGTTCCCGTCGTTCCCGAGCAGTTCGTTTTTGCGGGCAAGCGGGACCGAAGGGAGAGACGCGAAGGGGAGAAACCCGCTCGCGCCTCCTCGTGCCTCCTCGTGCCTCGTGCTCGTCCGAGGAAACAAGCGACATTTCACGACGCCACTACTGGTTTCCCCGCGCGAAATGACCTTTGAGAAACGAGCGCAATACTGATGACGTGTCACTACGCAGATCTGGGTAGTGCTTCTGACTGGCAACGTTTTTGTTAGTCTGACTGGTTGAAGCAAATTTACCATGCGGCTTGACCAAAAAAAAAAAATCTTTTTTTCTGTTTCTTTGAGTGTCAATGCATTTAGCACGAAAGTACTAATTGGGGACACTATTTTTACGTCTCCTACTGGAGACGAGACCGCCATTTTACGTGGTCATCCAAGCCACGCGAAGGTCCAGCCATTTGTAGAGCAAAGGCAGTACCTTCATTTCTCAGTTATTTTAAGACCCTGAGTATTGATCCGGTCCCGGGAATCGAACTCGCGACCTCCTGCTCTGCCGTCAAGCGCTCTACCGACTGAGCTAGTCCTGCCGCGGTTGATCAATCAGAAGTACTACCCAGATCTCGGCAGTTCACCAGTATTGAATTCTCAGACGTCATTTCACGGGAAAACCAGTGGTAGCTTCGTGAATTTTGGCTGTTTTTCTAGGCTACGCGCTCGTTCCTTGGAACGGATGATTGGTACCATCTAACTTCTCACTGTTTTGTTTTTACATTCCTTTGTTTGTTTGGTTTTTTTTCCGCCACAGACGGGACTCGCGATAGCCTGCAAACCACAGACGTATTTCCGGTCGTCGCTTCTCTCCCTGCGAAAAAATAATTTTTCGGACGGAGAGAAGCGACGACCGGAAATACGTCTCCGGTTCGCAGGCTAGACTCGCCACGGAGCGTGGGTAAAACTATGACGAGCGGTGTCACCCAACTTTACAGTTTGGTATAGTATTTGATAGAGCCGAAACTAATTGTGGAATTGCACACCATATGTGACATATAGATATTTCAAGCAGCAAAAATGTGCTGACCTTCCCCTTTGAACATGAGATGTTTTTACCTTTCTACATCTACCGTAATTTTATTGAAAATTTGCAAGCTAAAAATACATTGTTAGTGTGTAGGAAGAAAAAAGAACAATAATAAATAAGTAAATAAATAGAATAAAAACTGAAGTCCCCTTTGAATTGAGTCATTGAGAAGTCGAAACTTTTTGGAGCATAATATGAGGCAAACAGGTATTCAACGGTGGCGGACAAAACACTGACCCCCAGTCCATGGACTGCCCCCACGGACTACCCTAAAATGGACTATGCCTGCTGAAGTTTAGTGATTAGGGTTAGGAAACTGAGTGAATCACGTTTCAGGTCCGTTTTCCCCCTATAATGATCCTAAATGGATACTGATGCACTTAGTTTCCTAACCCTAATGACCAAACTTCAGCAGCGTAGTCAATTTTGGGTGGTCCATATGGGTAGTCCAACAGGTTAGTCCATGGACTAGTGGTCAGTGTCTCGTTCACCACTAATTTGCTGGTTATCAAACTTCGGAACTGTAGGCCTGGATTCAATCCCCCAAGAGAAAACGTTTTGATATTGGTCAACCTTGTTGGACACCTTACCACGATTTACTTGCGGTAAATATTGTTCCCCAAAATCAACGGCTTCCGCTGACCACAAATGCCTAATGGCTTTGCAAAGGAGGCACACCACCACTGCAATAAGTGCAATACAGCGGCTCCAAAGTAAAACGTTTTGGTTGTATTTATTTTAGCCAAACATTTTTAACAGTTTGTAAGAACTAAGCTCATAATTAGCGTTAGTCAATTATGGCAATAAGATGGACGCAAGAAGTCGATGGAGGCCCTCGAAGAGTAAATCATGCTGCGGTGGCAATTCGGAATCGTTTTATTTTTAGCTTTGGAGGTTATTGTACTGGAGAGGAATATAACCAAATTGTCAAGATAGATGTGCACGTTTTCGATACAGGTAAGGCTGTATAATTACAATTTATACAGCGGAGACAGCGCCTGAAAATTGATGACGAGTGTTGGCTAAGTGTTTTGCGGAACGTGTTGGTTTACATCTTAATATTGAGGAGGGTCGAAAACGTACCGGAAATGTATTGTTTTCGGACTATGCACGACAAATATTTGCATAAAATCACTGCTTTGTGTTTCCAGAGGTTTTAACAGGTTGTTGATAATTTTCAAGCATACATTCGTATCCTATTTAGGTATTTAGAATTTTCCTAAACGTCCATTTTGACATGTGAGATGCACTTGAGCGAGCGTGTTTATTTCGGATTCGAATGCTCTCAACTTATTAGTTTGTGATTAATAAATTATGCCACCACAAGCAAGTGGGCAGATTGTGTTATTTTTGTTCTTAAAAGAATAGCACACAGTAGGTAAGATAAAACACCGCAATTATTCGAGGCATAAAAAATGTTCAGACTAGCTATTTCATTAAGTTGTTGGAACATTTGTTAATCTGTTTGTCACTAAACATTTTTCTCGTGAGTGCAATACTGGTCTTATTACGGATGTGAATCAAATCGTTTATGCCAAAGCTGGATAGTTTTTTACTTGCTCTATTCACAGCTTTGTGTCTTTAAGTTCTTTTGAAAAGGTTATTTTTGCTTGAAACATTGATTTTATGATGTGAATCTTAGAAAAAACTTAAATCAGTGAACTTTCAATCAGATTGTCCCATGCATCTCCAAATTTGTCATGCATCAACAAAGTTAGTAACAGCAGCATATACCTGTATATAAAAAATGTGCCATTATTATTTACTGATGGCATTCTTTTGCTAATCTCCACGTCTGAACTCATTAGTGCTTTCTCTGATTTACAAGTACTCATAGTAAACATATACATTCCCTTAAATTTCTAAACAGTGCCATGCCGATGGATGAAGATCTCTGCTTCTTCTCCAGAAGGTCACGAGTCCACTCCATACATGAGATATGGTCACAGTGCGTCAGCTATTGGGGACTTAGTTTATATATTTGGTGGAAGGAATGACACCTATGGAGCCTGTAATACTCTCTTCTGCTTTGACACAGGTGATCCTTTTGACTGAGGGCCTGTTTACATGGAGGTGGGGGACCCCAGATAGGTGCGGTAACATGTGGTGGGTCACACCACCTATCATGTTAACGTGATCAAAGTAAAATGAGGGATTACATGGACACGCAGGTTACCCCACTTCACCCTTTAAGTCCCAATAGTGACCAACAGCAATTTTCTCCCAACAATGTCCATACATTGTCAAGAGATAAGGTTGTGAGAATATAAAAAAATGATCAGGAAAGAGAAAATGCCTTGATTTCTATTAAATTCTCTCAGCTAATTTTTAAAGGAAATGTATGGAGATCAGTTTGGAGAATTTGTATGTGGATATTGGGGCTTAAAGGGTTAAGCAGGTTACCTCACCTACCTGGGCTCCCCCACCTCCATGCAAACAGGCCCTAACTGTTAAACAGTACTATGGTTCTATGTCTAGTGGACTTAGGTTATGTTCACACTAAAGCAAATAGTTTTGCACTGCCACAAAAATCATAGCGGAAAGGGCTTGTGCTCACTCACAAGAACGATTGTGGTGGCGCGATTTCTGTGATGGAACAAAGCTGCGCAGTGCTAATCTCGAGAGTAGACGGTACATATTGGATAGGTTTTGTGCCATACTTTGGTACAGTGTGAACACATATCCGGCCCATCACAGAAGTAAATAAGAAGCAGTGAGGACTGGAACCCATTTTGATGGAAGTAAATAACTAGGAATGAGAACTGGAATTTAGTGCACCAAATGTCTTGGCCAATGCAGCAGCGCGATGTTCAATGTGTGTGAAAGACTTGTACTGTAGTGCCCCTGAGCTGTTGCTGTTTTTATTTTAACTAGATAACTTTTTGTAATGTCATGAAAAGCTTAAATGTGAACAGTGGTCCTGTTGCATCACTCTGCATGCCTGTGACAGTGGCGGCTGCTGACCAGCATTGTTTCGCATTTAACGTAGCTTAAATAACATTTAGCCACATCATAAGTTATTGTTGTTTCTGTCGTACTCAGAAAACTGTGAGCACCTGAAATATTTCAGAAATGTTTTATTGTGTTGTGACCAATCACAACAAAGATCAGGGCATGCGAGCAAGCCACAAAACAACAAACTTATTGCTGTCATNTTTAGCCACATCATAAGTTATTGTTGTTTCTGTCGTACTCAGAAAACTGTGAGCACCTGAAATATTTCAGAAATGTTTTATTGTGTTGTGACCAATCACAACAAAGATCAGGGCATGCGAGCAAGCCACAAAACAACAAACTTATTGCTGTCATTAATTGCAGTTTAGCTTAATTCTGACAACTGATTGGCTTTTTCCTTGCAACTCAATAAAATGAGAGCATGACCAAGCAGTTAGAGTAGTTAGGGCACTACATTAATTATTTGTTATTTAGAAGCCCCAACTTCAAGTTTCCAAGACTGCTAACTAGATTTGTTCTTGGTAGTCTAGAGTTCAAATCATCGGCTACGCTTGTAAAATCGCTGACTGGTTAACCTGGTACCAGTTTGAAATGTTAACCATGTTATGTTCCATTTAAATTATTTGTTTTATTTATCCCTGGAAAGCACCATAAGGGAAGTGGATAATGAACTATTTAAATTTATATTTTTAAAGATTCCAGAAATATCTCTGGTGTCCACGATTTTCTGAGTTTCACAATAAAGTTCTGTGACCTGTTTGTAGAAACTTGCAGCTGGTCCAGACCTAAAGTGAATGGAAGACCTCCAGCTGCACGTGATGGACATACAGCTTGCGTTATTGATTCAAGGATTTATATTTTTGGTGGTTACGAAGAAGAGGTATGATCCTGACCCTTTCTTGTCTACATTTTTTGCAGCTGATAGGGAAATGTGTAGATTTTAAGAGATTTCTGTTAACTCTGCCTTAACTAAGACCTCTGGCTATAAGATTTACTAATTTACTAAGGTGCACCAATTTTTGGCAGGTTTACTCCAACAGCATCAATACTACACCGATGTACGGGCCTGTAAGAGTCCATCCCCCCATGAAAGATAGACCATACCACCGGGGACTGGTTTTTTCCCCCGTTTTTTATGAGCAATGTGTGGGTTCTTTTATTAATGTCCTACAGAATTCAAATTTACATGTGCAAGGGTTGTGAGACAGGTTTATTGTCCTTATCCAAGAGGCCAAAAGTCCCTGATTGTTGGTCCAGCCAGGGTTTCAACCAGCCGCCTCCCCTTCGGCAGACTGGTGCTTATCCAACTGAGGTATTAACTGGGTGGCAGTAAAGATGAACTCCTCCCTAAGATGGTCACTCAGTGCTGTTCCCAACAGGGTTAGTTTTAGGGAGAACTGAATCTCTACATGATACTAGAGCTGTGAGTTAACTGTAGTCCTTAAAGGGGGTGTGTTTCGACTGGCTACTTCATGTTGTTTATAATGCTAGTTATACTTAATCCTTTAAAGTTATAACTGTATGACTCTATTTTTTTAAGGGGGAGTGTTTCTCCAACACTGTGGAATATCTGGACACTCAAACATTAACATGGCATGCACCCAGAGTAATGGTAAGTTAATTGTAAAATCTTTCTATTGTGGGTAATTTATTTGCAAGGATATCAGTACTTAACACCGTAATCACTATTATCAGTATTGTTATGAATAAAATGACCACAGATCTCTGTAGTGTTGTACATGTAGATATGATTTGAGTGGTTAGCATCACGTTAGGTTTAAGACAAACATATCAATGTAATATGGCTTACTGCATAACTGTGTAATGGAACCTTAAATATAACCTAGGTTAAAAAAATCAAGCTAGGTTATCAAAATTAACCTGAAATCAAATTAGACCTGTAACATATATTCAGGGCAAAAATGATGTACTGGTGTTTGTACAAAATAACGTGAATAACAAAAGCTTGAATAAATATTGGAGAAAATCTTTGTTTCTGTTCTTCAGGGTAAACCAGCCAAATGGCGGGACTTTCACTCAGCAACTGCTGTTGGAACAAACATGTACATTTTTGGAGGAAGAGGTAAGATTGTATTCCTTGTTCAATGTACTGTTTACAACTGAGTATACAATCACACACCCCTGTAAACCACCCACCTGTACCTAAAATACAAAAATCAGAAATTGTTGTCAGAACCTCTTAGGATGTAAGATTTTGGCAGTTTGGGCGGTCAATATTAATTCAGGGAATGTTTCTTATTTATAGAGATCACTGCTTTTTTTTGTTACAGGGGACAGAAGAGGGCATGAACACAGTGGTGAAGAAGTTTATTCCAATTCTGTCAGAGTGTTTGACACAGGTGTGTTGGGTGTGCTGGTTCCGTGTTATTAGCCAGTTCCTGGTACAAACTGTCTAACTTGGGCAACTGGAGAAAAATCTGACTAGTAGGAATTAAATGGCACGACGCGTCTCTGAGCGGCACTTTTCCTTCTAGACATAATTTGTATAGCCAACAAAAAAGATTTACATGTGCTTGTAATGTCATTGACACCCAGGGAATAAAGACTTACATGTATGAGTAATGAACCCATCTGTAGAAGAAAAACTGCTCGGGGAACCATTACACAGGAGAAGATCCAGGAATCATCCAGCTGTGGTCTTTATTGATCAGTTACAATCTAGAATGAGACACTTGACGACACAGACTGCTTCCTCATTCAGCACATGTGGTAACGTTACACAAATAATTGTACATTATTTGTTTGAAACATTGTAATCTTGGTTTCGTCTTTGCAGTAAAAAACTGTTGGTTTAAACTGAAAACATCTGGAGAGGTACCAGTTGGACGACGCAGTCACTCAGCAGGTTGGTTAATTTATATAAAGTGGTTTCTTGGAAAAAAATTTTATGCCCTTCTGGAAAGCTGTTGATGAAGTTTACTTGCCCAGAGCAGTGACACTGGCCCCAAACTGCATTTTGCACTGACATTCACTTATCCCAGCAAATGTTGCTTGCCTATTGAACAACTTGTTAGTAATTAAAACACGCTAGCCTTATAGGGCATGCCATTAACCCAGAACTATCACACAGCACTTTTATCCTACCCTGCAAACTAAATAATAATTTTTATTTATATTTGTTTTATTGTTTGTTTACAGTTGCCTATGGCAAACACATTTTTGTGTTTGGTGGTTACAATGGACTTGAAAGGAAACATCATGGAGAGGTGTACAGTTTAGATGCAGGTATGAATTCAGTGAAGCAAATATAGATAAGAGTGCTTTTTTTTAGAAAATCAGTGTTTCTTGACATATTTTGGATATTTATACTACACTGTAGCTGAACAAAGAACAAAGGACGTTTGACCAAGGAAAGATTTTTTATCATATTTACTCACATTCCTATGCAAAGGTCATCTGTCTGTTCGTGTGACTGGTTATTAAAGATCCAGCAGTGTTATTTATGATGTTTATTATTATTGTTAGTTTATCAAGCACTTACCTTGAGATACTTTCATAAATACAGTATTAATAGTAAATTATATAATATATTCTATAGAATAATGTATCATTAGGATATCTGATATTCTCTGTGAAGAAGTTATTCTATTGACTGCAGGTGTACAACAGCAATTAAAAGTCTTAATCTGCAATGAGGGACAAATATTGTTGTCCAGGGTGTGTTGTGTAACATAGAAATATTTGACCTCCTCTCCACCATCCTGTGAGTTGGTTTGCTTTTCAGACCCCACAGGCCACCTAACCAGCAGTGTAGCATTACATGATGGATCTTAGTGAAGGGGGGAAAATGTTTTTTTGGGTTGGTGGGTTTCAAGAGTCGATAATAGTCGCCTCCCCCCCCCCACGGTGTGTGTGTGTTGTTTGTTTCGGCCCGCGCGGGCGGGCGAGACGCGGTGGGGGGCGGTAAAAGAGGGGGTGGGGGGGGGGGGGGGGGAGGGAAGGGAGTTACACTTTTGATTACTTGGGGAGCCAATGTGGCTTAGCGGTTATAGCACTGGATTTGTAATCTGAAGGCTCTGAGTTCAAGTCGCTTCCTGACTGCTAGCTGGATTTGTTGTCGGTAGTTCTGAGTTCAAATCCTCATCCATGCTTGTAACAGAGCCAACTGGTTTGCCTCCCACCAGTCCATGTCATTTTCCATTTGAATAATATTATTTCTTTCATTATCCCTGATAAGCGCCAGGGGAGAGGATAGTCAGTATTTAACTTTTAGTTTACTTTGTGGCAAGTTTGAATGATTGTGAAATAATGATTTCTCTTTTTTGCTGTTTTGTGTTAGAAACCAAAGTGTGGGTTAAGCGGAACGTCTCAGGCCATGGTCCGTGTCCACGCCGAAGACACTGCTGTTGTCTCATAGGATCAAAGCTCATGATATTTGGAGGCACAAGGTAAGAGTTTAGCCTGATTATCATCAGTAACATAAGGAAAGGGATTGTACTCTTCAACACCCAACATCAATCACCTCCTCACTATCAGGTGCCACCCCCCTTACAACCCCATCACTGACCTGCAATGCATGATGAGTTTGTGTTTTTACAATTCACGGCCTTTTGTAGGTTGAAAATTAAACTTAAGTAGGCCATAATATTTGTTTTCAATTCGTGGTTAATGCTTTAATTCCATATTACCCGTCTCAGTTTTTGTCCACTGCAAAATCATACACATACAGCTGTAGTATGAAATGATGGATGGCCCCAGAGAGGATTTGCTTGGTTTTAATAAAATGAGTGAAGCGCTTGTGAGCACTTTAATACAAAATTCTTTGTTGAGCCTCGTTTTCTTACTGTTGCTTGTATTCATAGAATGGCCTAAACACTTTTATGTGGAACACTTGTTAGCTTAAAAAAGAGAGAAGAGAACGCTATGTTGTCAGTGGCTTATGGTACAACTACAGCTCAAGTACTGTTTATTGTTACTATGTTGCAACATATAAATAATGCGGTTTTTGTTTATGGCGATTTATTTTACTGGTTTTGTTTATATTATAGTCCTGTTTCTGGAGCTCCAATTGACGATGAGTACAATCTTCAAGATCACTCAGATCTCTACATCCTAGATCTTGGTAAGCAAGGGTTTAATCTTAATAAATTATGATTTTTTGCTAAAGCTGGGTTTGAATACACTGAAAAAGAGTTATTGAGATTTTAGGCTGGTTTGGTCTCAAGATTGGATCAAAATAGTGTATTAATCTCAAATAATATTGTAGTTGGCCACAGACGAAAATACCATAATATTCTTTAAACTGTTGTTTGGATGGTGCTTCATGTAAACCTTATATTTTCGTGATGGTTTATTCTTTGTATGAGCTGCAACTGCAGCATACGCCTTTTGACAAGAAGCTGATGCATTGCACATGCGAACTATGCGAAGAACAAAATAACGTTATTGCAAACGTGGCTTTGCATGAAGCACCATCCGAATGGAATTTTCAATTAAATGATATTATGGTATTTTACATCTTAGCCAATTTGTAGCAGTGCCAAGTAATTTACCATGCCTTTGATATCTCAAGTTGACAGAACTATTAAGCGTGGATCATTTTCCAACAATTTCTGATGATTTACAATTATGAACTTTTAAGTTGACCAAAAATTAATGTTTCCATCATAAAAGAAGTGTGAAGATGTTTGAGTGTTTTTGAAACTGACTCAAAGACTTCTGATGATTGCTAGAATGTAACTGAAGAGCACAAGATCATGCTCACAGTATGTTTCCTAACTGCTGACAGCTACGAAAGTGGATACGTAAAGTTATGTTGTTGTTGTTGTTGTTAGTGTTAGTGTTATTTGGAATAAAATAGGGGTTTTAAAGGTAAATGCTGATGTCTTTTCTTATCCCATTTTGCCAGCTGTTGTAAATACATCTAAACATAGCATGTTCTTCTTCACAGAGCCATCTCTTCGAACATTGTGCAAACTTGCTGTTATTCAGTACAGACTAGATCAGACACCATTACCTAAAGTGCTCAAGTAAGAGGATAATTAAAATACATTATAGAAGGATTGTTAACAGCTACACTGGAAATTACTGTTCAGTGGCTTTGATTTAAATAGTCACACCATACGATTTCATCCACAGAACAAACATTTCATCCTCAGACTCAAACGTTAGAACCACCTTGTACAGCATAATAAACAGTACCACAGGACAGTACTGCTCAGTATCTTTCATGAAATGTATCACATTTAAGTACTTTCCAGTCAGTCGTCCAGAAACTTTCATTTGAATGGTTACATTTTAGAAAACTGTCAATTCTCCTTTTGGTTTGAAACCCACAATGCCTCTTATCAAGCTACAAAGGTAAACCATTGTCTATAATAAGTTTGTTTCTTTTAATAACAGGATGGAACTGAGTATTATGGAGGCTGGTAGGAGTTCAGTGAGGTCTTCACAGGGATAAATTGCAGCGCAGAAGAGGTTCATTCAACAAGGATCTAAATAGATTCACACTCCACTGGCTTCATCAGTCACCGTAAGAGGCGCGCAATTCCCGGAAAATGCCATTTGGGATTGTTTTAGGAATCTTGTAAGGGGCAAATTTATAGTCAATTACTATGAGGAGTTCTTCAGTCACTTTCCAAAGTCTTAATCTAAAACGAGTTGATCATAACCTGTCAACTCAATTTTTAGGGAATGTTCATCCTAGGTTTTGTTTAGAAACCAGGAAATGGAACTAATGTATGGCGTGAAACACTCTACAAGGCAGTTTTATTGCCTTATCGTAGTTTATTAAAGAAGAGCTGGGATTTTTAAAATAAATTTATAAATAATAATATTATTACAGGATGCTATATGCTTTGTACATAGTATTTTCTTACGAAAGAAGAGCTATAAAATTTGTTGTTCAGCTGCACCAAAAATTTAACAATGAGTTTTCTTCTATTTTTACTTCATTTTCTGTTTAAAATCAGTAGTTTTTTATACTTGATTCTCACTGTCAACGTCATGACTTTGTATGCACTTGCTGACGTCACTAAGTTCATAGTGACATCACTCTTGAGATGATGTGTCATTGACGTTTGTACTGACTTCATTGTTCATCTTTACTGTGATATTGCCAGATTCACATTTCAAATAAATGGTCTCCTTAATTGGCTTTAACTCTTTGACATCATAACATTCAGCCTTGTTACGTCACTATGACATGCACTTTTTCTAGAAAAAAAATACTTCGAAGCAAACTTTTGTATTTTGCACGAAGTCTGTCTTAACTATTTAGGCATTACTATAGATGTAGTGAATACCGTAACTTAAGTGTTTGTTATGGGAAAATTAGTAGTAATCATTCACTTGGGGATTTTTTTACTATAGGTGAAGCAGGGCTTGATTTTTCTTTCAAATTCCCCAAATTTCCATAGGCCCTGAAATTTAGATAAATTAAAATATAAATGGCAGTAATAAATATTTTTAGGTTCTGTTTGCTTGAGATCTGTGACACAGATGTTTTTGAAAGTCCAAAGTGGACTGCGCTACATGCCGTTGAAAGTTTTTTTTTTTACATTTGCACAACTGTATTTGCTGAAATAATAAAATATATTGTATTATAACTTACTCAGAAATGTGCATGTAATGGGAAATTTAATTGGGGGGGGGGGATTGACCTCTAAAAATTAAACTTGTATTATATGTTTGTTTATAGTCTGTATACGTTTCTTAGGTAAATAATATCTTTAAAAGTAATAAGGAAATATTAGTGGATTAGCTGAAAGTGTCATGTAGAACAAAGTATCATCTCCCATTTTTTTAAAAATATGTAAAATTCTAGCCTCGTCTGATGCATTTTTTAAAGTTGTTTCATAGTTTGTAAAAGGTCCAAAGGTTATATACAAGAGGTGGGAAAATAAAGTAACATAACTCAGTCATAGCTGTGTGTATTATTTGCTATAACCTGTGAGAGAAACACATGTCCAGCCTCTTTACCATGTTACCAGAAAGAAAGGGCCTTGCCTGTCACTTTTAAGTGTGGTCTCAGGAAGAAAGTCGTCCATGGAGTCTTCGCTTCTCTTCAAGACGGAAACAAAGGTGAGTCATAGTGCACGGACAAATAGAGGTTTATCTGGAAATTAGGTTGTAAATAAGCCAATATAGATAGATAGATAGATAGATAGATAGATAGATAGATAGATAGATAGATAGATAGATAGCTTTATTAAAAATCCATTGCAGCCCAAGGGCTGGATTACGGACTGTACAATACGTTGAATACTAAGACTAACTATTATAAATAAATAACAGTAAATAAATAAAACAAAGGAACAAAATACTACGTCATGAAATTTAAGAAAATAGCCGCGAATTTACAATAAAACCATTAGAAAATAGCCGCGTTATGCAAAGTCAATTGTCAGCATCATTATGATCGCCATCATCTTCATCCACATCAATTATGGGCAACATGATTATCACCATGACCATCATCCCGAAGGACCTCTTAGCTGCTACCAGTAGGTGTCATGTCGCCATTAGATGTTTCGTGTATTTTTAGTTGCTGTTTTGTTTTTTCCCCAAAACTTGCTGTATTTCTGGAATCGCGTGCTTCCCTAGTTTTTGATCTGATAACTCTTGACTTGAGGAGGAAGTTGAACAATTAATAACCGATGATGGGTTAAACTACACGTACCTTTGTTGGACACTTCTCCACCCGCCATTGCTCTTTATCATCGTTATCATCACAATGATCATGCTCATCATCCATCATCATCCCCATCATCATCATTGTCGTCATCATCATCATCATTATCACCATCAGCAGCACCATCATCATTATCATCACCGTCATCATCATCATCATCATTATCACCATCAGCATCACCATCATCATTATCATCATCATAATCACCGTCATCATCATCGTCACCATTATCATCACCATCATCATCGTAATCATCATCATCACCACCGTCATCAACATCATCATCGTCATCATTATTATCATCATCATCATTATCCCCATTATCATCATTGTCGTCATCATCATTATCGTTATCACCATCATCATCATCATCATCATCATCATCACCATCATCATCACCATCATCATCATCATCATCATCATCATCATCATCACCGTCATCATCATCGTCATCATCATCGTCATCATCACCATCATCATCACCATCATCACCATCATCATCGTCATCATCATCGTCATCATTATTATCATCATTATCATCATCGTCGTTGTCGTCGTCGTCGTGGTCACCATAAACATCAAAGTGGTTGCATCATTACCAAGATAAAAAAATCATCATCGTCATCAACATCATTATTTAAATCCGCGTCGTTATAACTAGAGAGTTAACTGTAGTTAAGAATTCACTTTCAAGGAACGTGGTCAGCGGATAGTTTTCGCGGCAGATCCTGAAAGACGATAATGTAACATGACCCATTATGGGAAGGAAACGAAAGGCGAGATTCTCCCCATTTTCACCGTCTCACCTTTCTTTGCGCCGAAATTTGCATACTGAGATGACGCTCAGCGGAGATGATCTGAAGCATACAATGGTAATATTGTTTTAGTTAGGATTTCCACACAATTCTTTGAAGAATAAAGCATAGCAATTTTCCGTTGAATTTATTGATTACGTCAGATGATTTCTTTGATATTGGTAGCTTGCATTAAAAGAAACAAATATTTTTAGGAGCCGGAAATGTAGGGTTTACCTCGGTGTAAAAACCTGTGAGGTTTTTCTTTGTTTTCGAGCTATTATTTTCCTTAGCTGTATTGTCTTGACTTATCAGTGGCGTCTTTGTATTTATTGCTTTACGTCACTCGTGAGTTTCACAGGTTTTCAGTTTACACCGAGTATGAGCCGAAATGTACCTATACACCATAAAACGTTGATGTCAATTCTCAAAAAACTTCTTCATTTTGTCATCTTAGAATGACACATATCCCTTTTAAAAACTAAAAAGCGATCGAAATGCTGCACATATCATCGTTTTCCAGGACTGAAAAGTTATCGTAAGACTTTGGAGAAACAGGTGCATTATACGTGAAGATTCGGCTATTATTATGACTGGGTTCAACTGGGTACGAGTTTGAAGTTCGGAAAACAACTCGAGAGACGTCAGTTTTCCAGATTGATTCTGTTCGTTGAGCCAATCAGAAAGAAGCCGATTTTCTGAGAATTTCTGGAAACCTTCCAAGAAAGGATTTAAGGTTGTTAACTTATAACAAAGCACGATCATATTTAATAAAGGTGTAGTTGTTGTCTTCAATTTATTCTTTGCATTTTCAGGGCAAAAGAACTGTCGATCTTGACAAGACGCGTGGAACCAAGGTAGGCGAAAATTTTCATTTTACTTTGGTCTAATTAAGGAAACTGGAAGCAAGAGACGACGTTGAAACTTGACCTGTCTTCTTCGTCATTGTGAGGAAGTGAGCTCTACTTACTATTCTTTGATGCTAAACGAAATATTGCGTAGTCAAAACATGTGAAGGGCGTGAAATAAATACGTCTTCGATAAAATCTAGTTATTATTGCAAGCTTTGCACGAAGAAATACTGAGAAATGGGAAGGTTCAAGACTTACTTCCTTAATAACAAGAAAAAACCTGTCTGACCGCCGTAGTATGAAGAAAGTTTCCTGTTTTAAAGGTCCCGCTACTGCCTATCTTAGCTGGCTTCACTTTAGCTCAACCCTAGTACAACTTGGTTTCAGACGTCGAATTTAATTCAGGCAAATAAAAGTGCTATTTCCGGAACCGAAGCTTCAAAATAGACCACAGGCGTATTAGCATAAGCTACGCCGTTATTATTTATGCTAATATATTTGTAATTTAAAATATAGACTTAGCCAGGGCTAAAAGCGAAGCTCTCGATAATATTTATAGTTTGTTCAAACAAAATATAAAATCATGTAATGCTAAGCGGCGAAGGCAACGCCCGAGAACGGTGAAAACAACAATCGGTCTAAATAGCAAAAAAGCAATTTTGCACGTGCAGCACACTTTTTTTGTACATTTCTTTG